TGAAGAGCAAAGGGGTCTGTACCAGGTTGGAGAAACCCACAGGAACAATTGGTCTGCACAAGGGAGGAGAGCACATTGACCCCAGAGGCTGTCGGGGAGGCCAGTACAAGACTGATCCAGACCCCTGAACATGGATGTCAATAAGGAGGCCTCTGCGCTCTAGGGAGCGTCTGGTGGTGGATTAGTATTTTTCCCTGGTGCAAGAAGGGACTTTGAGAGCTCATCCCACTGAAGGGTTACACTCTGGTCCTGGACACATGGGGAAGGGCCCAGGACCAGCAGAGGAAGCTTTGATGGACTTTCTGCCGACCGACCCAGGAACTAGGTGAGTGAGTCTCTGCCCTTACCCAACTCCCACCCAAAACATCACTCACCCAGATGACCCCCCTCCCCAGCCTGTTCCTGCTTGCTTGGAGTAGACACACCCAGGCAGGGAGGAGCTCCTTGCTCCCTGAATCTGGTAGCACCCCACTCTTCCATCCCTTTCTGCCAACCGGCCCAGGAACTAGGAGAGTGAGTCTCTGCCCTTACCCAACTCCCGCCCAAAACATCACTCACCCCCACCAGCTGTCCCCCCACCTGCGCCTGCCGGCTTGGGGTAGACATGCCCAGGCAAGGAGGAGCTCCCTGCTCCCTAAATCTGGTAGCATCCCACTCTTCCATTCCGCCGACTGACCCAGAAACTAGGTGAGTGAGTCTCTGCCCTTACCCAACTCCCACCCTAAACTGAGGTTTTTTCTTCCCTGTTGTGTATACCTAATAACAGGCATCTATGTCAAAGTTTTATTTATTTATTTTTGAAATATGATTTCATGCAGCCATGGACGGTCTCCAATTTAATTTTTACTGAAGGTGACAATAAAATTCTGATATACCTGTGTCTGGCCATCAACTGTCAGAGTTACATGCATATGCCACTAGATATGGCTTATAAATTTTCCTTCAACTTCAGATAAATATTAGTCTATAATGTAGATTGTACCAATGTGTATTTAACTATTCTTAATTTAAAATTTTACTTTTACATAATCATTTATTTATTTTTGCAATGGTGGTGAAATATGTGCAGGGCCTTGGAAAGAACTCAAGCACAGGTATGTGCTACCCCCCTAGCTTGTGTATGTGTATACATGGGACCAAAGCAAATCCTCTGACTGTAGGTGCCAGCTAGGAGGCCAAGACTGTCTAAGGGACCTCTAACAGTGGAGCCATTCTTCAACCCTAGAGCACTAAAGGCTTTTGGGGGCCCCATTTCCTAAGGAGGGATACTATTACAGCCCAGGTCCAGCAAGGTGGGCCCAGGCCCTCCATCAAATAATTGACAGACTTTGAAGGTCCCTGGTGGAGAACCTCACTATCCTTGGGGATGACTTGGGGAATGGGGTGGCGACTGTTGGAGGGGAACTTGTGAGGTTTGGAGAGTGAGGGATTGGGGGCGATGGATAAGTAAACATGAGTAGTAATTAAAGAATTTAAATTACATGCTCACTGGCTCCAGAAAGACAAACTAGCCCCCCACCCACTGAATCCAGTTGACAGTGCTATGGCTTTGCAGTATGTGGGAAACATTGGCAGTGAAAATAGTATCTATCCATGATGGGGAATTCACTGTGTATGTTCATCTTGATTATCGAATAAAATACTGTTTGGCCAATGAGACAGCAAGTTAGACAGGACTAGGAGTCAAAGAGGATTCTGGGAAATGTTGTAGAGAAGTGGTGATCTGGGCAGGAAGTGACATAGCAAGGAGACTCATATTTAAGCAGGGACAAACAGGAAGTATCCTCTTAACCCTATGCCACCTCCGTTGGCGTGATGTGAGCCACTGGCAAGAGAGGGCACCAGTAAAAGGCATCCTATATAAGATAAGTCTTATAAAATATCTAGAAGTATGATAATTAAGACTGAGCTAACAGATGAGAATCCTAGTCATTGGCCAAGCAGCATTTGAACCTAATACAAGTTACTGTGTATTAATTTGGGCCCTAACTCGGTGGACGACTGGTGTAAAGCACACACATGGCAGTGGGGCTCGACGGACTTTTCGGAAAGATTTATCGTAACATACCCATAGCGCATG